GTACTTAACTTATTAAGTAAATACTCATCTTCTCTATAATATATTGAAAGATCAAGTTCATCTTAAGAATAACGCTATATTTTATATTTTGCAAAATATTGTCTGTATAAAATATGAGCAATCACCTTCTCCACTCATCGATTTTAAAAGAAGTGTTCTTGCAGTATTATAAATGTTTTTATCTTCTATTCATAAAATGCCAAATTACTCAAAAACTTGCTTTCGGAAGTATTATGAGTTTAATTCTGAAATTTCAATTTTATTCAGAATTCTATTGGATTCCTTTATTGCATGCCAATTTGATTATAATACATCCTAAATCGAACTCATTTTGCCCTTTTTGGCTAGATAGACTGTATTATAATATATTAAAGCCAATTGATAAATTAAAACTTTAACAATATTAATAACGATGTTCTATCATAATATGATTACTCTACTCATAAGATTTTGATAAATTTATTTCTTGCTCCAGATGGCTTGGTATATTTTATTATAATGACTGCTTTTAATCTTCATTCTGATGAACAAGTTTGAGATAATTCTAGACTGGAATTATGTCCAATATCAAAATTCACGTTGTGTAATTGCGATAAAATTATAGTATTCATCGGCGTAGATAATCATGATAAATTAATCTGTCGGAGCCTTATTTCATAAACCGGGATACTTGATCAATTTACTAAAAATTGGATTAGAAGTGAGGAAAATGCATGTAAACTGGAAAAAGTCATTAACCAGTCTTGATAGATTTTGATATTTCGAATTCCATTCCAATTTTGTCATAAATCCGAGCTCGTTAGTTCTCGGTTATAAAAAGTAGGCGTTTTGTGCAACAGAAAGTGTTTTTCTCTATATTTTATAAGCTATTCCCGACTTACAAGGATTGCTTCATTCTTATCTCCGTAATAGGATCATTGTTTTATTGCACATGTGCCATAAAATCTGCACAAAAGAACAGAGTCGAACGCCGGCGCCGCGGCTTCAAGAAAAATTGGAGGCGCGGCAGCAACAGCAAAAAGAGAGTTAATAGCTCAATTTATGCTGCGATAGAAACTTGTTATAAAAATATTGAATTTTATTGCATATTCATTCATTATATGCAATATCATGGGATGGTATTTTTAGGTCTAAGTTATGGTGATTGGAATTTATAACATGCGATTAATTAATTATTTAATAAGCATACTGAATTATGAATGCAAATTTTCTAGGCGAATATTCAAAGAAGGTCGATTATTTATTTAAATCGCAATATTTGTTGAATAACACTGAAAATATTCAATGAGTAATTGAAACAATATTTGCTAATATCTTGAAACCTATTAGTATTTTATAGAAGTTAAAAAGAATTACTTATAAATTGTTAAAAAAGTAGTAATTCTGCATTCTGATATTTTGTGAATTCATTAACTGAAGAGAACTGAGAATAATTATTTGTAGTAATTAGCTCTACACATTTATTGACATCGAATTTTGAATTTTCTTCTAAACATAAGCAGTATTTAATTTTATGAATTTTCGGTTCGAATATTATTCAAGGAATGCTTAATATATTCAAATAAAATATACAAGAATAATCGACCAATTACTGTTGTTGCTGAAGTATATAATCTATTATATACGGCAATTTTCATTTCAAATATATTTGAGTCATCTTAATCTACATGGTATAAGTAAATAATTATTTATCATTTTCATTCATCACAGACTTCTATCTTTTCTTCGAATAAACTTTAATCTTTTTATCAATTGAATCAAATAGTTTTCAAGTGATTCATAGAATTATGTACAAAATTGTTCGAAACAATGTTAATGGTAATTCTTCATGCAGAAATTTCAAATATAAGTTGAAGTACGTTTGGGAATCACGTCTTGTATTTGGTCCCAATATAGGGTCATGTTTCATTTTATTACTTTTGCAAACAATTGCAAAGCATTATTTGCAAAATTAGAACATTGATAAGATTATTCCTTTATCTTCGGATCGCCTTATAATATTATCTGTTAAAATTTTGACCTGTGAAGTCAAGGTTCTTTTTCGTCGAGACGTCGATGGAAATAAGAATCGCTTCCGTTGTCGAATAACTAACTTATTATAATTCAAGAGAAAAAAAACGTCACATGGGAATTAGAATTGTGCTTTAATATTATATGATAAAATACAGATATCAAAAAAAAATGTTTCATTAGGAATCTTATCGCCAACTATTTTATCGCGGCTCTTGATGATATGATTGTACTCGTTAGGTTAAACGGTTTGTGAAGTTTCATAACAATATACTTGAAAATTATCACACAATTTTATTCCATTCAAGGTATGTTGTATGATAAAACACTAGGCTAAGTAATAATTCCATAAATAAAAGCGTTTTTTAGCAATTAATACAAAAACGTAATTCAATGAGTAAGGAGATACAATACCTCTTTTTGTATCTTAATTTGATTTGATTGATCTTACTTCTATGATTTGCATAAATGATGTTTAGTTTTTTTCACTCGTTTTCAACTTTAGAAATAAACAATAATATTTTCAATTTATTTAATAATGATAAAAAACACAAGAAGAGTTTTTATTATTATTAAAAGATAAACAGAAAGTAAGCTATCCAAATAAGCAGAAATTTATATGGGAGAAATAAAATTATAATTGGCAGTGGCAAAATTGTAAGTGGTGTCTTACCTCAAGGCAAGGCATTTATCACATACTTTAATTAATTAAACTAATTTTTGTACGCCTATAATATTTTAGGTTGTTTATTTATGCCATGAACCTTAAAAAAATTCAGATGACTTAAACTACTATACGAAAGTAAGCTTGAATTGCCCATGAAATTACCAAATGACAAAAGATGACAAAATATTTTATGCTAAAATCACTCCTTGTTAAGAAGTGCTAAATATTCATTTACCCACCATCAATTGATATCATCTTATTCGCTTCTTTTTATTTATGCTATCATTTCAATTTCTTGTAACAAAAAGTTTTATTTATATCTGCTTTAATTAAGAAACATACATCAATGTCCATTAGTGCCCTTCAGCTCAAGTAACATCTTCAAGAAAAATCTTTGAGTTATGTTCCAATTAATTGAAACATTAATTTTATTTTGCAATCACTTGTGACAATTCGATCGAAGATGGTAATCGATTTATATTTATTGATTTAATTCCAAGATTGAATTGAATGAGTACAGTTTGAATAGTAATGACATAAATCTAAAATCCAGAGTGGGCTGTATAAATTCAATTAATTAGGCTAATTAAATAAGATTGACATTTGTGAACTGCAATTTAAGAGCACCTAAATAGTAAACTAGCTGTAAGTGGAATTCTGTCTTGAGGCATTTATGGCATCGTGCCTTAAGGCAAATTGCTGGAACTTCCCGTACCGAAATGTTCGAGGAATACTGAATGTTTTCAAATAGATTATTATAAATATTGTAACATTGTCTAATATTTATGAGAATTATATAAACTGAATTGCAGAGTTGAAAATAGTTGTAAAGTATATTAGAACTATAGCCAGAATTAAAAATAAAATCTGAAATATTTTTGATTAAAACAAAAAAAAAAAAAAAAAAAAAAAAAAAAAAAAAATTGAACAAAAATTTTTTTTCCAAAATCAATTATTTTGTTTAAGACAAGCAGAAAGTTCTTTGAATCATTTAAATCGGACGCTTAGTTCTCTCAAAAAATGCCATTTTTTACATATTTAGCTCCATATCTTCGAAATGGCTGGGCCTGCCTTTGCCAAAAACTAATAAGCACTTCTCCCAATCATTACTAATTGAATGCTTTTTAGATCATTCAAATCAGATACTCCGTTCTCTCAAAAAATTCGATTTCTATTTCTGCACTCTTTGCTCCGTATCTCCGAAACGGCTGGACCTGCTTTGCCAAAAAACTAATCAGCTCTTTTTCCTATCAATAGGAATCGAATGTTTTTGAACCATTCAAATCGGTTGATCCGTGCGCCCTAAAACGTGACTGGAAATTTGTATCCATACATACATACACACACACACACACACACACACACACACACACACACACAATCCATTTTTCTGAGGTATGCCAAAACGTTCAAAAACCTTCAAAACGTCGAGAAATGTTAAAATTTTCAATTCCGATTTTCGGCCCATACAATAACTTACCCTACGGGAAAGTTAATTAAGAATGCAATATTAATTTGCCGGTTCAAGAGCATATTTGTAATTGATTTTGGTCAACCTACTTAAAGATTTTTTATTCTTATTGTGAAAAAACTAATAAAAATTGTGGTTCAAATCTACGACGTTAAAACAATAGTGATATTCATTTTTTTTTAAATTTAGATCAAAATATGTTTTACCGATTTATTAACAATACGTGGAACAAAATGCATAACTGGTAATAATTCCACAAAGCCAAGCACTTCATAAAAAACATTAACGTATTTCCATTTAGCAAAAACTGCTCGGTAGTTTTACATATTTACGTATGCATTGTATTATTAACAATTCAATAAGTATTTATTATCGATCCTCTTAATAATAATCGATGTTATTTACGCAGAATTCTTTATATTTTTCTTTATTGCCATATTGACGTCTCCGTACGAGACCAAGGGTCAAAGTCGGAAACAAGTAAACGACTATGTAATTTTATTTATGGGTCTTATATAATATATAATCAACATGAAAGAACACAATTTGATAAGTACTGAACGAATTATAATTTAGATCTGTCAATTTTAATAATTTATACATGAGTTAATGAGAAATGCCTATATGCGAACTAGTTCATTAATTTTTGCGGTTATAATTAGAAATGCTCCGATAATGTGACAATTGTAAGTTTATACATGCCGATAAATAATATCTAGATTTAAATGAATCATATCATCAATATTAATATCTATCGACAGTGTAAAAGAATACATTTCAGTTGTTTAGATAATAAAATTTAGTATATGATATTATTATTATTATTTTCTAATATTATTTTTCTTTTCCCAGGTAGAGATTTTCCATGATGTCCCGGTTTCCGTGTGCAGTGGCATGCGCCCTGTTAATCTTCGCCCAAGTATCGAGGGCATTGGATTGCCCTGATTCATGCAACTGCTACAATGCACCAGATAGTTTAATCGAAGCCAACTGCACAGACTTAATTAAATTACAAAAATACCTCAATAGTGAGAAAACGTTCAATTTAGATATTCTCAAACTCAGTGATCCAACCATCACTACGATCAATGGTCAATTAGATAAGTTAAACAGTCTTAGCATATTAGATCTATCTGGTAACAATTTGAGTTCCGTGAAGAAGCTACCAAAAAATGTTGTTAAATTAGATTTAAGTAATAATTTCTTGAAGAGTATAGAAGATTTGCCGCAGAGCGTTAAGGAAGTAAATTTACGGGGAAACAGGATAATAGATTTGTCGTATAAAATTACGAGCTTGAAGCATCTGCGTAGATTCTTTTTGGAAAACAATTCATTAGCCTGTTCCTGTGAGACTATTCAAGTTCGCGATTGGTTGATTAAAAGCTACATCTCTACTGATAAACCATTCTGTCTCACAGACCAAGGAAAACAAATACTTCTTTCAGAAGTTAAAACTTCCGACGTATGTCTCAAAGTAAAAACAAAATATGATTTAGAAGATTTGATGCAAGGTGATGATCCATTAGGAGGATCCGTATTTCAAGGATCAGGTTCAGAACCTGATGACGAAGACTTATTTATCACAGTATCGTCCAAACCTCCGTCCAATGACAGTCACGATGATAAACATTCTATTTATGAAGGATCAGGAGAGAGTGACTTCGATTTTATAGACCAAGCAGTGACCTACGATGATATAGCTGAAGAATCGACATCTACTACAGAAGCGGTGAAATCAACCACGGAACAACCATTGAAAAAACCGTCTCCCATGGATGATACTGAAGACGAGGAGGAAGAGTCGGGATCAGGGTCAGGATCAGGAGATGGAGGTATATTGCCATTTAATGATTATGATGAATTTGATGCATTCTTTGCATCCGAGATACCTACAACTGAGGAACCTGTAACATCATCAAGTTCATTCTTTGATTGGAATCCATTTTCTTGGTTTTCTGGTTCCAATACGGCAACTGAAGAAGTTTCAGAGAGCACACCTGAAGCTAAAGTGGATGACGAAAAGGATGACGAGAACGATGAAGTTGCAACAACTGAAACTTTGATTACTGAAGCTCCAATCATTCCAAAAGTTGTTGAAAAAATACAAGCTGAAGTTCCAAAAACTGTTTCAGAAGAGAAAGTAGAAGTTAAAACAGACGAAGAAACTGAAAGTAAAAAGGATGTGGAGGACGATGTGGAATTAGGCAATGTAAGAAGTGAACAGGATGGTGACAATGTAACAACTTATGCTTGCCTCGGGGTATTATCTCTACTGTTATTATTACTTATCATATTTGTTATTTTCAAAAAACGAAAATCGGATAAAAAACGCAAAAGGCAAGGAAAACGTGATGTAGAAAGCCGCGGCACGGAGATGCGAGATATGAATAAAAAACTAATGGAACAAAATTCTGCAAAACCAGCAGCAAATGGAAAAAATGGAAACTTTGAAACTGATTCATTGTTACCAAATGGAGATAAAAAACCAGTAGCTATGCCAAGAATAGTGCCTAGCGCAATTGATCCAAAACCAGCTCTAGAAAAATTGTTGGATCCGAAAGCTGATGCTATTGAAACTTATGATAATGTTCCATTGCCTAAAAATGTAGCACCTGTTTCTTCTAATAAAGGTAGTTCTGTACTTCATCCAGTCAACGACCACGACAGTTCCAATGATTATAAAGTCAAAACCAAACTAAAAGAAATTCCAGAATCGTTACCGAAAACTCCTGTCCTGGTCAATAGGACAAGATCCAATGCTGGTGACATAATTGTAACCCCGGTAAATAAAAATGGTTTAAATGGAAATACTGGAAGATAAGTTTATAAGTTGTGGTGCACAAATATTAGACTTTACAATAAATTGTTATACAATACGAGTCGTAGTCAGGACATATTCGAAATTGTGATTTAGAAATTAATTATGTATGAGAGTTTGTCACAATTAATGTTATGTTGTTACAATTACAATCAAAATAATATATGAGTATATATTATTTTGATTGACATGAATTTGCGTTAAATTCAGGCAATTTATTTTATAATTTTGCCATCAGTTATTGTTAAAAGCGTTTACGTACTGTATAGAAGGTCAATTTGTTTAACCCTCCGTCGGTCGGCGTGGTCTGGCCAGACTTTTTTCGACTTCAATTAGAAAAATAAAATATTTCTAGTAATCCTATCGACTTGAAATTTATTGACTTTTCCTAAAATTTCATTAGCTGTCGATCAATGAAAAAATCAGGACGAAAAAATGTACAGAAGGATAATTATAAGGATTTTTTTTTTTTATACTTCGAACGGTCGGAAAGGTCTGTCTAGACCACCCATACATTTTGTATGGAATATACGTTTTTTCATGGTATTTTCTATTCAAACTGCGTTGTTTATATTCTTTGCTATGTGTTCTAACATGAATGTTAGTATTTTCATGACGAGAGTTTCTTGAAAACCTACCAAACTTATTGGTAATCGCAAACACTGAAAATCGGATGAGTAATGCACACATTCATTCAGGCGCCAAAAAGAATAAATACTGTTTTTCATTGATTTAAAACAGAAAAATTAACAAAAAAAGCAACGTTTTTTTTATATTTCTTGATTTTTTTATATAATCGTTAATACATAAGACACCAAACTCATTTATCCCATATAAATGCATGTAAAATGAATGGTGGTCCAGCCAGACCTTTCCGACCGTTCGAAGGTGAAAAAATATCCGACCGACGGAGGGTTAATTTTTATTTAACATTTTTTAGTTAATTACTTTATAAAGCATATCAAGAATTATATGCCTTAAGTAACGTTTAGGATATTAGAAGTTTAATAATTAGATAATTCGTTATATTGAAAAATATTTTATAATATTGTAGAATAATGCATTTTTAATATATAATGTTAATCGTCAAGAAGTTAAGATTGGCAAGATGGCTGTGATGTAATATCCAGAACTTTTCATACATCAACAACAATTATATCAATTGTAAATAAATAATATTTTTATTAAAAAAACATCCATGCTGCTATTATTATATTTAATTATGCAAAGTATGTTTAATTGTAATTTGTAGACTTAAGAAAGAGATTAATAATGTGAGTTGCCTAAACGACCTATTTTTTAGAAGTTTTTATTGCTAACTGTGCATTTTTCACCCTTGTGCCTTGACTTCATAAAAATTGGTTTCGAAAGAAACAACGCATGAAATTCCTACAATACCTCAATTCTTCAAATTCAAACATAGAATGTTGATATATTTAAAATGTTAAACATGTATAAAATATCGCTAATTAACTGTTAGACCTTAAAATGCACTAATTATAAGCTTTCTTTTACACAAATGCTTAAAGCATATTATTAATTTATTTATTTATGTTATGTACATAATATCGGTATATGAAAACCTATAATTATTAATAGTTGTTTATCAATGTCTTATTCTTGAATAGGTTTTAGCTGCCAAAAAGTTTCGTTATAATAATGTTAAAAAAATCTATGCATGATTAAAATGTAAAAGGTTATTTTAGTTTTAAGTAAGTTTATTTAAGAACTAGTCTTACATCTGTAATTATAAATAATAAACTGATTTTCTTATAAAATACGTTTTACACAGTATAACTTATATGTTCAATAAAGAGTATATTAAAATTTTATTTATTCACTTCTTATTTATGTCTGATAAATTCTTCTAGCAGTTTCGGTGAAAATGAAACTGGAAAAGATCATGAAACGAAGTTTCGTTAGCAGTAAAATAAAAATTTTGAATTGGAATTATCAATTATTTTAAGTATATGCTTTCAAACATTAATTTAGCGTTAAATGTCCAAAAGTGCATAGTGTTTTTAGACACTGATTTAAAATTAACAGTTTTATATGTTTGCAAGCACCATCTGAATTTCATAACAAACTTCAACGTATATTTGTGTTGCAATCATAGATAGAGTCACTTCATGCATGGAACTTCACTGGTTTTTGGATTGACTAAAGCAACCGATTCGCATCATGTCTAAATATTTTCAGAATATAATCACAGATCGCTCTCCCTGCGTACTCGTTCATTATTCATAGATTCTGTGGGTCCTTCGGGGGCTTCTACAGTTACATTGACTTCTACCGGAATAGGGTTCCGCTCACTATACTTCGGCGGGGGTGAACTCGGGATAATTCTTGTAATAGGAGTTTCATTTTGTTGAGAATTTGCATTTGCCTCGTTCATGGTTGCATCACTATTCCTAGCTGTCGAAGAACTCGATTCGCTATTGTTAACATTAGTGGCTAATTCCGTCGCACTTTGCGTAGGGTGCTCCTGATGTACGCTTATTGTCAAAGGCGCTAAATTCCTGCCGCGTTGCGCAATTTTCGATACATTAGCTTCACTCTTTGCTCTATTTTTTCCCATTTTATTCTGTAAATCTCTGCTACCCGATGGCAAGTGTCCTAAAGACGCAAAAGTTCCGTCCAAGCGTGGTAAGAGTAGAGCTTCTTCGTAGCACGGCGGTGACACCAAGTCCCGCGGGTCAGGCGCGTTGCGCATGGCCTCGCGCTCGAGAAGCCTTTGCTGCCTCTGGCGCTCCCGGGCTTCTTCAGCCACTCGTTCTTCTTCCCGTCTAGCAGCTTCGGCTCGGGCCTTTATCGTTCTACGAATAACCATCACAACACACATTGTGCCTACAAAACTCAGAAGTATTACTATTAAAAACATCCAAAATTTATCGGCCTTGGACACAGGTAGTAAATTAGGGTTCCAAACAGTTCCACAAGCGCTTGACCAAGATTTACCAGCAACTACATTTGGCGACTCGCACTTCAAAGCACGAATATCATCCACTCTTGGACGTAAGTATTTGAAAAGATTTTTAAAACTTTCGGACATGCATTCGCAACGCCATGGATTGTCTGATAAATCTATCTCTTTAAGTGCATGGTTACCAGAGAAATAACTTTCATGAAAAGGTGTCGTCATTCTATTACCACCAAGTAATAAAGTTGACAAGAAAGGCATCCCTTGTAATGTTTCATTTCTTAAGGTTTTGAGTCGACAGAAGGTGAGATCTAATTTTTGAAGTTTCGATGCTTGCAATCGTTCAGGTATCTCACTTATTAAATTATGAGACAGATTTAAGTCTATTAATTCCGGCAATCTGACAAAAGCATCATTGCTTATATGTTGAATTTCACACCAACTTAAGTCCAAAGTATCGATTGATTTAGAAACGAAAGAATCTAATCTATTCAAATGATTTCGTGATAGATTAATGCTTGTGAGTTGTTTATTTGCAGCAAATGTATTAGGATTTAAAGATGACAGAACATTCCACGACAAATCTATCATTCTTAATTCGTCTAATAAAACAAACGTATTCTTTGTAACGCTCGCTATCCCGTTTCCCGACAAATTAATATACTCTAATAAATGATTTTTTTCAAAACTTTCTTCGTTTAATTCGTTGACCATATTTCCACGAGCTTTTAAATTGACAAGTTTTGGAAATGCTTCTAATCTTAATTTATTTACATTACAAAACGAAATATCGAGTTCTTTAAGAGATTCTAATTTCAAAAGAGGATAACGCCGAGAAAAATATAATCTTGGATTCCAAGCTATATTTAGTTTCATCAGTCCAGTTAAATGATTAAACGAATTTCCATCAAAAAATCCTAATTGACAATGACTAACCTCAAGCTGAACTAAGGAACTGGATTGCATATTCGTAATTAAATTTAAAGGATTAAAACTCAAGTCCAAAATTTGTAAATTTGGCATATATTTCAAAAACTTAGGATGTGTCAAACTATGAATTTGGCAATGACTCAAATTCAATATCTGTAACTGTTGATTGTGTATAAACATACGTTCGTAGTCTCTGTCTAAAGTAATCGGATTTTGTGATAAATCGATTTCGATTAAATGTTTTGCTAAAATAAACAACTCACTCGCATGAATATCAGTCAAGCTAGTTAAATTGTTTCTGGATAAAATAATCTTTTTCAGGTTCGTCGAATTTGCGATGGCATCAGATGATATTTTACGGATTCTGTTGCCGGAGAAATATAGTTCTTCTAGATTTTCTAATGATTTCAGTTCTCCAGACAGTTCTTGGATATTATTATTTGTCATGATTAAAATCTGCGCCTAAAATATATAGACATAGAAATGATGTTCAGATAAATAATACTGGATTTAATCTATAAAGTCAAGTATCGGTACTTCATTTTTATAAAAATTACAGCTTGTATGTGTCAACAAAATTTAAAACGGGAAATAAAATATATCATAATATTTTGATATTTCCAATTACTATTATATAATATAATATTTTAATTAATGGGCTACACAATAATAAATTAAATTAGTTAAAATATATTAATTGATATGAGCAATATATTTTTAAATAAATTGAAATTTATCGATCACACATTTGGCTACTAGCAATCATTTGCTTTTACCGAAATGAAATAAAATTTCAACTACAATATTCGTACTACGCAAAATATAATTAAACCATAACAAATGAAGTTAAATACATCATGTGATAAAAAAAAAATAAAAATATTTTAGTAATTTGAAAAATTGCAATGGTCTGTGTTTATATATTACACTCAATATAAGTATGATTTATATTTGTAATTATCTTACTTCTTTAGGAATATCATTAGGTATCTCTTTCAATTGCATTTCAGAACAATCCACCACAAATTTGGCATCGTCAATATAACAATTACATTCTTCCAAATTGCAATAACCATTCCCAAAACTTTCGTCTATCATCACAAACACGAGGAGCAGCTTAATCTACTTGCAATAAAATCCAATTAATGGAATAAAAATACTAGCAAAAATATAAAACACTTACAAAATTCATATTGCTCGAGAATTCCTTCAAATTT